TTTTATTCTCATGGGCCACGGTGCCTTCGCGCATGGATTGACCAAGGACATTCTATACGATGATGGAAGCTCCTTTTATATTGATCTAGCCTCTACCAGAATTCGGGAGACGGCTGGAAAGGGTAGAAATCGGCCCTGAAATCGGCCAAATAGAGAGATGACATGCCAGGGGAGTTGGTCCGCTAGAGAGTACAGTTTGCCGACTTCAAAGAACAGGCTTCGCGGGTGCGGCAAACTGTACTCTCTAGCTCTATTTGCCGATTTCTACTCTTTCCAGCCGCCTTCCGAAGCCTGGTAGAGGCTACCTTTGTGCATGGATCGATAATCTGTGGGAGTACTGAGAAAATGGGTACAGAAATTTCGGATGAACTGTTCAATGTTTTATTAGTACAATCACACCTACAAAGAAATGTGTAAGCGATCTTCGCCATGTTTTAACCTATACAACGACAAGGATTCTTGAAAATGCTGTTACGTAACGTCTTCCCCCTTGAGACAGATTGCAAAGGCGTAATATGACATGTTATGTAACCGGTATATCTGCACACATTGTATAAGATTGTTGGCCTGTGCTCAGCCAGTAGGGCAAAAATGTACCCGTATCAATTAAAAGAAATCGCGTCTTAGCGCACAGCCCAACTGATTGGCCTTTAAAATTCGTGGGAAAGCCTCGGATAATAATAGATTATGTAACCCAGGTTACTCTCCAAGCAGAGGTTGGTGGGAAATATTGTTACCTTTCTATACATGCCTCGCTTTTCTCTGTCTCTACCTCCTGTTGGGAAAAATTGGGCATCTATATATAAAGGTAACAATTTTCCCCACCAACCTCTGCTTGGAGAGTAACACATGTACATGTTGTACCCATGTTCAGTGACCTCCAACCAGGATGTTTTTTTGCCAATTACTGGCGGGGCTGACGTTTGCAGTCCTTACTATATGAGATCGGTGGCTGTCATTTGTCAGAAAGCTCAGTTGAGATCCAGCCTTGTTTAGTTTTCAGAAACCATTGATAATATAATCACGGTATGAATGAATGAAGACCTTTATTGTACGCAAATACCCACTGGGTTCAGTACAGGTCACAGGAAAGACGTCACAGTTTGCAATGAATATATGCAATGTAGAACTAGCGCTAATTCTATGTACTATGGACATATAGTCTAATAATTACGATAATTTGGCTTCTTCTCGCTTCTTAGTAACGATGTAGATATAAGTACAGATGTGTTTTATAATCGAAGGTTTGTCTACAGCCATTAGAAATATGAACTTATCTGTGTTGCTTAGATGGGTCTTAGATGTATGAAATGGGGAAACATACATTAATAACTGTTGCATTTTTGTTCACATGGCTTCTGACAGAAACCTTTCGGCTGAAAGGGTACAGGTCCTTCCAGGTCAAAAGCTACGAGCACTTGTTGGGGACTAGTGCGTAGTTGGATAGGGGAAAGGCCGCCGATGTCGGAGGGAAAAAGGGCAGACAAACAACGATGATTTTGTCCCTATATGCAGTCTATTCCATTCACATGATTTTGCTTACTCGTTGATTTATTCACTAGACTGGAAAGAAGCGAATTTTAATTAAGGATAGTCTCTAAGTAAAGCAGGTGTTTTTGTTTTTTACTTTGGGCGCCTCGTGTGTGTGTACTAGTATCCTGGCTGGACTCATGTTTTATTTGCTACCAAATCATGCAGACAACAGCGATGCATGCATTACATGTACATGGGGTGAACAAGTATGTATCATACTGCAAGACCAAGCTTAAGCCCCAAAATAAAATGACCTTCCATCAAGCAAATATTGTACCACGAATGAGAATATCCCACGCAAATGTTACTGTTGTGCGCGCAAACATACCGTAAGTTGTTCACCCCAAGTACACGTAACGCATGCATCGCAATCAGGTCAACATGATTTGGCGTAGCAAATAAAACGTGCAACCAGCGACGATACACACACACGAGGCACCCGAAGCACAACACACCTGCTTTAGAGAGTACCTTTCAACTTTGCTATCCTCCAGTCTAGTGAATAAATCAACGAGAAAGCAAAATCATGTGAATTATGGAATTGGCTATGTTATGTAGTACGAAATCCTTATACGAGTATATTGACGAAATCGTGTGTTTCAATTGCAACCAGCCAACGAAAACAGCAGTGATATTTGTTCAATTCTGTGTGAAAGATCACTCGTTTCGTGCATAAAAGCAACTCCACACGAGTCGGATGTGACATAACTTGTTAAGATTCGTATGTGACATAACCGTGTTTAACCCCATGTACGTAAGCAGCGCCCCCCGTCAGTGCGTGACGCCGTGATTAACATATATTCTCACGTCTTCGCCTGAGGTTCAGTCTTGCTTGATTCAATCCGCTCCCAACGGTCAATACCGCGCTGGATTCCAGGCTACTTTGTTTAATAGTCTCCACCAGGCCTTCCGAAGTTATCATCCGGTTTTGGGTACCATTATGCACAAACGGGGCCAATAAAGCTAGCTATAGGGGAGTGACTCGCGGTAAGATCTGTACTGCAAAACATCCATTAGAATAGACTTAAATAGTGGAATGTGAGGTGTTGGCTATCGGAACACATGGTTGGGTGTAATTGTGTTTACCGAAGAAAAATATATTGGTTTTGCTCAGTTTCTTCCTCTTCTTCTTCTCCAAATAAATAAGGTCAATGACCTGAACCAGACGTCTATCACCACGGTAACTGGTGTTGGGTTACATCATGTTGCAATTCTATAGCAGGAGAGATTTAGACTCCTGTCACCATATATAATATAAAACACGTCAAAAATTAGCCGAAACGGCTATTAATTCCTCTGCTTGGAGAATCATCTAATATGTGTGCATATTACACTGCGTATATGGGAGACCATCTTGTGTGCATGTTGCTCATTTATTATTAGTTTCCAAATCACGTTCTCAATTTGGCAACCTTCAATCAAATCTTTTATTCAAAAATCAACATGGCAGACGTGCCGAATTACGTACTTCAGACGCGTCTGAATTGCATTGACGTGATGTAAGTGATGATGATTTGTAAATTAACGATGATTTGTATCGTCATTTACAAATCATCATCACTTACATCATTAATTACAAATACGTAGATTAAAAACATCACCATCATTTACAGGTCACAGTCATTTACAAACCATCATCATACATCATTACAAATACGTAGATTAAAAACATATTAACAATTTCATAGGTAAAAAATTACAATACACATCAATGTACACATCGATCAGCTTACAATACACATTCAAAAGTCTTTCGCGGCCGGCTCTCACAATGAAAGAGTTGTTGTGCCGGTCAGATCTACTTAATGGGAGTTTATATTGATGTAAAATAGCACATAAAAGCTCCCAAAGACCCTTAAGACCCCTGAAAACCCCCAGTTTTTGGCATGCTATGTTTTCCTCAGATTGTACGCCGGGTTCTCTCTAGGTGGAATAATAGTATCTACCAGACTAACTACGCTGGCTATATATAGGACAATATTTACCAGGACTAGTTTGGCCGCCTTGTAGGGTAGTTGGAGCTGGTCGGAGGGAAAGAAACTACCTCCCCGCGGCCGGACTCCCTTGGCCAATTTTACTCTCTTTTTTTGCCGAATTCTACGATCCGTATTCCCGTAGAAAGGCCTGGTGGAGGCTAGTGGGAGGGGTCTTGTAGTATCAGTTCAGTTCCTCCAGGACTCGAGAGTGGGCAAGTACCCATGGGGAACTCCTGAGGCACTGGAACTTCTGAATTCTTCGTCTGACCATCTACCTCCATGGTCCGTCTGCAGACAACGCGGCGCGGAAGACCGCGGGCCATTCCTGGAAACCATTATGCATCTAGGGCATAGTACTCGGATAGCAGGGCAAGGACGGTATTAAATTTGCATACACACAGGCCGCCACAGCAGATAGGTGTTATGTGCAGTGCTGTGTTGTGTTGTGGGAATTAATTAAGGATGCGCACAAAGAAATGTTGAAAAGAAAGAAGAAAGTTTCTCTGCACCGCGCCCTGTTATACAAGTACTTTACCTGCATATATCACGCTGAATAGTCTGTCGATGTTATATCACAGCGCACCTAGCGTTATATAAACAAGCGTTACACCATCGCTCCCAGAAACATGCCTTTTCTGTACATGGTGCTGTGTTTTTACAACTTAGAAAATGAGAAAATAGTTCATATGTATGTAGCACTATGATGTAAGATCTACAAATTATCATTAGACTTAATGTATCCGAAACTGCGATAAAAAACACACTAGGGGAAGAAGATCGGGTATGTGTTGACAGGTGGTCACAATAGACCGGGTTAATTATGAATATTGTGTCAATAGCAAAATTATCAAAGGGACCACCAAAAGGGGTCGCTTTGGTGGTCACTTGGTCCTCCGTGTGAAGTTGTAACTTACACAGGGTTTACACTAGGATATACGTACGTATAATGTACTTTGGAACTTTTGCTCTATACTCTTGGGCCAGTGTACATGTACCTATGCCCTAATCTCCAAGCAGATCTTTCGGTGGCTAGCGCCTACAGACAAAAACAATATCAAATGGCCTTGACCTGCCCGTAGCCAGGATTTTGAAAAATGAACCTTCTAAAATGGCATTTCGTGCGTTTTTGAGAGGATTTCCAAGAAAAAATCAGAGATAAATTTTTATTCAATTACAAAGGGAGCAGTTTTTCTATGATTCCAGTCCATCTTTTCAAGAAAAATCTTGGACCTTTACCTAAAAAGTGGACCAAAAAGTGGACCTTTGAGCCTTGTGGGGGGTGGGGGGGTTCTTCCGAACGGGCATGCTTGATACCTTGATGATGGCCTTGATTATGGCAAAATGGTAACTGTCTGGCAAACGCATGCAGGTACTGCCTAAACCAATTTGATACTGTCTTTCATTTACAGCCACCGAAATATCTGCTTGGAGATTTCATATGTCATACTACTACTACTACTAGTACCAGCATATCATTTAAATGGCTCCGCCCATACACGTTACATCAGATCACGTGACATTGTTGCCTTACGTAAGATCCAACTCAGTGCAAACGTAGCGGCAGCCCAGGACGTTACACAAGTAACCCAGGGTCAGCTTACATAAGGCTAGTCACAAGCCAAACGATTCGATAATTGTTGGTGTTCAGTCAGTTTGGTGCCCTCCAGGGTGGCAGTCCACATCCCACACACCATGGTGGACCTGGCCCAGGAAGCGTTCAACGCCGCCAACTACGAACTCGCCGCCGAGGTGTTGGAGAGGGAGATCGCGGAGGAAGGGTTGACCCAGGACCGAGCGCTGGGGAGAGCGGATGCGCTGGCGATGCAGGGCAACTTCCACGCTGCCTTTGAGGCTTACCATCTAGCCTTTAAGATGGGGAAGGTCGCTCACGAAAGGCTGAATCACTTGGTGACGGCTCTAGTTCGCGTCTTCTCGGCGAAAACCGGGGTGATACAGGCCGAGGGAGGAGAAGACAAGGCTACGGACTTCCTACGGGACGTGGTGATGTGTGCTGTCTGCCAAGGCCTGCTCTTCGAGCCGGTGACTATCCCATGCGGCCACACGTTCTGTAAACGTTGTATCGAGAAGGACCCATCAAAAACCTGTCCCAGATGTAGGCTTCGCTTCACAGAAGCAGAATACCCGGACTGCCAAGTTTTAAAACCTACTGTCATCCTGTGCAATATCTTCGACAAGTGGTGGCCAGACGAAGTCAAAGCTGTGAGACTGAAATGGGAAGGCAACGACTTGTTCTCCAAAAAGGATTTTTCTAAAGCTACGGAGAAGTACACAGAAGCTCTGAATTTAGGTAAGGGTGTTTATTTTTATGGTATGATCTCTACAACTTGGTTTAGTTTATGCAAGCTCATGTGTACGTAGTACTGGAAGGACCGTACAAACCGGAATGTACTGGTTGAAAGCTTATGAAACAGATCGTAGTAGGACGGCGTTTCTTGGTCAGTAACGGAAATTTCAGCCAAGTAAATGCCATCATTGTGTGATCATGGACATCAGTACACATTCTCACATCACCTACACCCACCAGATAGGTTAAAAACGCCTTCAATGCAGTTATTCTTTGTGGATTGTCAAAGGTTTGAGAAAGATAGTAGTATTGACAACGCACTGCCGTAAGCTGTCATATTAGTTTCTTTATTAGCTGAAAGCAAATTGCTGTCCTTTTGCGTCAGATTTCTTGTGCTTATGATACACATTTGAGTCAGATTTATTCCAAAATATGATGTTTTATGTGGTTTATATATGGTATATCGATATAAAGGTGTTAGGACGAGTGGCCCCCCTCCCACACAATGTTGTTACAAAACGTCCTGTTCGGTAACACAGATGGTTTGGCGTACATGGTTTAAGAGGGGTGGAATTTTTCACTTTTTTCCACAAATGACTAATTATAACATTTATGTACGCCACATAGTAAGTAAAATAAATACACGATGACTTATGAGGCATTATATATGAATTTTGAGTCTTCAAAATAAAATATATGGTGTGATGAAATGTTCTGACCTTTGTTATGAGAAGCTGACCACCCCCACATAGGTTGGTATCGCCTAGTCTTTATATAACTCACAGCCTATCTTGTAGGCTATCTTGGGGTTTTGTAATATTTTATTTGCATAGTGATGTAACAAACGATATTTAACATCCATGGAAACAGTTATTTTGAAATGAACGTCATGTAAGAGCTGCGTTTGTGACTTCTGATGTGAAAATCTTCTAGAAAATCAAGTTACGGTCTGATTTAAAACCAGGAATGACATACAATAGAATAACAACAACTAAAAACAGGCATAGAAATTTGATTCATTGATAGCCAAGCCCAAATTCTAATACTGGTAGATTAGCCACAAAACATACCTAAGCTGGTATCTATAATTCAGACAATGAATTTTGAACTTTCAATGAAATCTCTGCATAGTGGTACTGGAAAAAAATGTATAGGAAGGCTAGGACTTTCTTTAACCTGGTGGCAAAATACAAATATTTTGGGTTGATTCAGAACCATTCAGTTGTTGTTACTCAATTATTTTAGGTGGGCATATAATTGGTTCAAGGTCTTCATCTGGAGCCAACATCAATCACTTGCAAATTAGGTAGAAAGGGAAGATACTGTCCTGGTTTCAACTTTCAAGGACAACATCTTCCCCTCTACCTAATTTGCATATGATTGAGGTTGTCCCCATATGAACCCTTGCATAACCTATAGGGTAGTGATTGGTGGACAGTTTTGTCGTGAGGGTTTTGTGTAAGTGACCGCTAGTGCTCCCCAAATTTCTAGAACTTTGACACTTGCAATTTGTGAACCATGATGTCATTGACCTTGTGCTTGGTTATGTAAAGGTGTACAGGGCAAAGGATCATGGGTAACAAGTTACACAAAAAGCCAATGAACAATCCCAACAGTCCCCAAAAGACCCTAAGTGTTGATGCGCTTAAATTAAAATAGCAAGAAGTAGATTATAACTCAGTCCTCCAGGTTATTAAGGTTAAGTTTTCTTGGGGAGAGGGAGGCAACTTTGGTTGTGAGGACTGAAATTGTTAAAATTTTGTCAAGTAACGAAAAAGCTGCACTCAGTTACTGTAATGATGTGTATCAGGGGAGTATTGTACGTGCACTTTGGCATGCTGCTATTACATAACAGTAGTTACGCAAGGTACACATAGTGGGTTACGTGCAGAAGTGGTCAGTACTGCTAAGTTTGAACTTTGTGTAAACACACATCAATGATCAATGGTCAGGTTTCAAGTAAGGTCAGGGCTACTTAACTTAAGTACTAGTACTAGTAGACAGAATGGTGTTGAATTTATGTTCCTTTCAGGGGTCCACCTAAAAAGAAGCCTAGGTTTGGCAGCTTGTTCTAGGGTTGGTTAGGAAACACAACATTTTTTTCCAATTCATGGCCTAACTACTCTGATCCCTTTATTTCCACCCCAGTTCCCGGTGATCCTATCCTGCACAGCAATCGCTCGCACGCCTACTCCAGCAACCATGAATGGTCCCTGGCACTTAAAGATGCCCTCCAGGTCTGCCAACTAAGACCAGACTGGCCCAAGGTAAGATCAAACCTTTCTCTCTCTCCGAAATATTTCCCTGAAGTCTAAAATCTCTGATATCTTGTTTCTGATTTTTTGCCTTTGTCAGAAGGCTATGAAATTGGTTTGGGTGTAGTGTGGGAGACTTTAGGCATAACTCTTGAAGGCATGGAACAATATTCATGATTTTTGGCAGGCAGGTTACTGTTGGGTAGAACTTGGTCAAGAACAAAAATGGGCCTCGTGGGGCTATGTCACTGCAGTGGACGTTTTGTTTTTGACGTTTTTCTTGTTTTACCTTGATTTAGATGTTATTGGAGGTGACTTGACAGTTTTTGCACTTCACAGGGCCACTATAGAAAAGGCATGGCGCTGATCGGAATGGGCAGACATGAAGAGGCCATGTCTTGCTTCCTGCAATGCCTGACTCTGGATCCTGATGTCAGACCTGCAAAAGCAGAGCTAGAAAGGGTAGGTATCTTTCAAATGAATTTGCGTTGTATGTAGAACCTACTTCAAGTACTTGTGGTCCTAAGTCAGGGACGGTTAAAACTTAGCTACAGGATAAAGCACTATAGAGGCTTTTCATTGATGAAATAATAAATATCATATCAATCCTGGCAACCAGGTGTTGGCAGGTAAATTAGCATTACCATTAGCACGTAGGAGTCAGTGTAACAGACATACACTGTAATCCAACATGGCACATGTGAAAAAGCAAATGCATACACATGTAATGTTTACCTTCACATGGCCCAGCTTAACAAACTACTGCTTTATTTATTCTTACTATGATATATGGTGACCATGCAGCCCCTCTTGAACTCAGTTCTGCATGGCACTTGCAACATTATGTAACCCGACACCAGTTACCATGGTGACAGACGTCTGGTCTTGGTCAATAACCTTCTTTGTTTGGAGAAGAAGAGGAAGAAACAGAGCAAAAACAATTTTTTTTTCATTCTGCAAACTTTTAAGGTAAACATAATAAAGTAAAAATGTTCTGTTTTTCTATCTCCAGCTCCTCCACAACCTCCTGTCCCCAACCAGCGAGCTACCCCCCCTCCACCTGGGTACCAAGCTGTCGGCCCCCCAGCCCCATCACACCCCCACCCCCTCGCTGGTCCACTCCCTGGCTGCAGCGTCTCTCAATGAGCCATCCGGTGAGGAGGAGAGTCCAATGGTCACTGATGAAATAGGGGGGAGCAGCGTAGAAAGGAGAGGGGCAGATGAAGCCGGACCAAGCAGAGTGGGGAGCGTGCACATGAGAAGTGTCCACGGTCAGTCCACAGCTTAAAGTATACTGATACAGTAGTGGTACCTTGTTGTAGAATTCTGTTGCTTCAGATTTTTCAGGCAGGCTTTGACAATACAACCATTGCAAACACATTCACATACATGTACCAGTAGTATATGGTGACAGGAGCAGAGCAGACCATGAAAATGCAACATTATGTAACCCAACACCAGTCACCATGGTGACAGACATCAACAAATCATGTCATTGGTCAGGTCAGAGGTCACTGTTTGGAGAAGAGGAAGAAACTGAGCAAAAACAATATGTTTTCCTTTGGTAAACATAAAAGGAGAGAATTTAATTGTACAGATTTCACATCAAAAACAGCAAACAAGAGCAATGGCGAGTTTTAAAATTGGTTATTCTTCTTTTTTTCCCCCAGAATGTTGTTATGAAGAGAGAATGGAAGAGGAGTCCAGTAGTGACAGTGAGCTGGAGATGGGGAGAGGCAAGGGAAGGAGAAAAACAAACAGTGATGCCAGGTTAAAAGGTAAGGCTGTGATACTGACTTCATCTCATGTTTACCTGCAACCAGTAAATACTAGACTTCACAGAAGCATGATTGGGCTCCAATTGTTACAAATATATATGTAAGATTTGGATCAGTACAATCAACCAAATAGGTGGATTTCCAAAATTATGGTATACAGAGGTATTGTTAGTCTTTTTAAGCATGTTGACAGAACGTACTGCACCTGCGCGAAACCCGTAATGTCTTGTGCGTAGCACTTTGGTAGAACGCCTCATATAGGGTTGTATCTGCGTATAAGGTTAACATCCCGTCTGTAGTTTCCAAATGTTGTGTCGGGAAAGATATCGTCTGCAACAGGCAAAATTTTGATGCAATGTTGACCAAATATCCAACAAAAACCATGAAAAATCAGGGTTTTTGCAGGTGTAGTATGTTCTGCTGACATGCTGTCTTTTTATAGAGCTGCTGTAGATTGCATGACAAAGCTAAAGGCATAGAGTTGCAAGGGTTCATTCACAAAAGGAAATTAAAGCAAGTGATGTTAGTTTTGTTACATTACCTCTTTGAAAACCTAGTGGTTATTATGGCTGATCTCTTTATGAAAGGCGGAATTATGTCACCGTCGTCAGGGTTACAGTTTAAATGATGTCATAGTATCTATGGTGACAAGGCCTTGATTTGGTGCGAAGCCAATTAACGGAACAAATTTCTAAAAGGAGCTTGTATACTTAGAAAAAAGGAAAGAAAAGCCTTTGAGAGTAATATTATACATGTACGTCATGTATATTGTGGTTGAATTGGAAAAGAAGCTACTTGTGCAAAATGTTACATGTTGCTAAGCTTTCAGTAGGTCTAACCAGGGCTTCCAGTGTCAGTATTGGTAGATGACATACATGTACATGTATGAGTTCTGATTCTAAAGTGTCCCTATCTAGCATTAATATAAGGCAGCAACACATGTGAGTCTATAGGAAACTGGCATGAGTAATACTTGTAACTATACTAACTACTAGTAATAGTATATACAAAAACTCACACAATGATATATATAAAAACTATTCTGAAATGAAACCTATAAATTCAAATGTTTGAGCATTTTAGGTTGCTAAATCAGGCTAAGGGTTCAATAGTGTTTAAGACCTTTTGTGTTTACTACTGACTCTACAATATAGAAGTACTTTTGCATGTATTTTTCAAATTGTCATGTAAAATGTTTGCCAACATGCAGTGTTGTATATGCCATGGGTTTAGATCTGGACTTCATAGTCTGTAGTAATTTTTTGCTGAAAGTATTTCTGAATTGCAGACTGAACAAAATTTTGACATTTTGCAATATTGCAGAACACTGAAAAGAAGTATTTCTATCACTGGGCTTATGTTGGTGGTTGTGATTTCTCCCCAGCATGCTGCTCAGAGCCTGTCCTCTTGGAACAAGAGTTGGAAATGTGTGGAAGGAAACGTACCAACTCAGAAAGCTCACCGAACGACAGCCCATCTAAGTCTGTAGGTGAGTAACCATTGACATTTGTGACCCTCAACTCAAGTGTAACGTCCTTTCGTCTACACTCACTCAGGTAATCACAAGGTAAAGTTTGCTTTGGTGTAAGCCGTGTAACGTCACTGTTTGCGTAAATTGTGTAACGCGTGTTTGTGTAAGCGTTATGCAACGTTGTAAACTCTAAAGTCTAAAGGTATACATTCAAGCGATTGCCGTGATATCACGGCCAGTGAGTGGTAGGCTAAAAGAAGGTGGTAGTTGGGTGATTTGCCTACCATTAATTTGCATATGCGCACTGACAGTGCGCATATGCAAATTAATGGTAGGCAAAGCGGCACTGATAATATTGATGTTAAAAAACTGTCATTGCCCCTATAGTGTACTCACTCCCATGAATACAAATATGTAAACAAGGTCCCAACTATTTTTGTCAGAATGTTTCCTGTACTGCGATGGTTAAGATCTTATCTTTTGCCCTGTTTCTTTTTTGTAACTACAATGTACATGTATGGAAAGTAATTGAAAAATTATATAAAGTAGAATTTTAGAATATTAAAGAGGGGAATTCTGTGTTTCTTGGGCTAAATTTTTACCATAGTTAGAGAAAGCACTGCCACGAATGCATCAAAACAAGTCTATTAATCTAGATCTGGGTCACCCAGCTTATCAGTATGCAAATGTTAGTAGTGTGGTATTGCCGGATATACGGGCAAAGCTGCACCCAAGAATACCACTCAGGATCAATAAAATCTGGTCTATGTGGACAGGTAGTCACTATAAACTAGATTCTTAATGCTTGTGGTAATAGAAAACAAATTTTTAGCCAGAGACCACCAAAGGGAGTTCATATTGGCTAGGTGTATAGCACCCCCATGAAACTCCTTCCTCTTCGCCCCGCCGTTCTGCTTCGCCCCCGCCCCGTTCTGCTTCGCCCCGCAAAAATCTGCTTCGCCCCCGTCGTTCCTCTACGCCCCCGGCGCAATTCTGCTTTGCCCCCGTCCTTCTGCTTAGCCCCCAATGGCGGCACAGCTCACAGTCGACACGAAAATCGTCTGCAAAATAACAATAAAGGCTGTGCCGCCAAATTTAAAGTAGCCCATGCTCCGGCAAACATTCTGGACCACCTTTCTGCCAAGTGGCGTTGCACAAATCCTTCCCATTCAAAAGTTTACCCCTGCCTCACGGCCCGTCAGTGGTTCTTACGTTTATAAGTACTGGCGTTTATAAGTACAGCCGTGAGTGAAATTTCCCGCCAGTACTTATAAACGTAAGAACCACTGACGGGCCGTGAGGTAGGGGTAAACTTTTGAATGGGAA